GTTTATGAAAGACTTTTGTTACATTTAAAATATAGCAAGATTTACACCAAGACCTCTGACGATGCTTGTTACTAGTTGGGTAGATCGGTCAGTTGTGCTCATTTCTTACAAGCCAGACAGGCAGTTTCACTGGTTTTATTGTATGCTCAGTAATAGATTGTGGTGGGTCATTATCAAATTTCAAAGTTAAACTTTATTGTTCATTAAGGTGTAATAAGAATAGAAGAGCACGTGTCAAAAGCAATGTTTAAAATAATAATAGTAATAATAATAAAATAATAATAATAATAATATAAAGATGAAATAAACAATTTTAATAGAAGAGAAAAATCGAGTTTCCAGATGCGATTTGAACCCACGACCGTCCGTGATCTAGTCGGATGCTCTAACCACTGAGCTACAAAAGACTCTATGGTGAGCAAGGGTCAATTAGTGGGTATTTACTGGAACCGCATCACGCGGCTACACAGCGATACAAAGCGGATACACACGCGGCTACACATGTTTGGCTGTGTAGCTGCGTGATGCGGTTCCAATCAATACCCACTAATTGACCCTTGCTCACCACAGAGTCTCCTGTAGCTCAGTGGTTAGAGCATCCGACTAGATCACGGAGGGTCGTGGGTTCAAATCCCCTCTGGAAACTCGATTTTTCTCTTCTATTAAAATTGTTTATTTAATCTTTACATGCTCACTTTGGAGGCTGGTTGGCTGCAGGTGATGCTTTAATGCATGTGATGCTTTAATGTGGCAGCGTGATGCTGTTAGTGAGCTTCTATGCGCTAGCTGATGTTTGGCTGTGTAGCCGCGTGATGCGGTTCCAGTCAATACCCTCTAATTCACCCTTGCTCACCATAGAGTCTCCTGTAGCTCTGTGGTTAGAGCATCCGACTAGATCACGGAGAGTCATCCCCCAGATCGCTAAGGTGAATGGGAGTAACCCAGAAAGAAAACTGACATGATAGTAACCTCTTACAGGCTTGAACATTGTTGTGATTTAAAAAAAAAAGAAAGAAAAAAAGGGAAACAGCGCGAACAATGGAGATAAAGACATGAGCTATGTAAAGCAAAAAAAAAAAAAAACTCTGGACATAGTTGCAGTTGCGTTGATCGTATGATCTAGTTTAAGATTAAGTTTTTCTTTTTTCTGTTAAGAAAAGAAGGGATGTTGTGTCGGTCACATGACCGGAGGA